CTGACTAGCTGGAATTAGAGGCCCACACCACCATACCCGGCTAATTTTTGCTATTTTTATAGAGATAGTATTTCACCATGTTGGCCAGGCTGGTTATTAAACTCCTGACCTCATGATCTGCCCGCCTCAGCCTCCCAAAGTGCTAGGATTAAAGGTGTTATCCACCGTACCTGGTTATATTTTTTATTTCTATCATAAAGATTAAGAGATAGGGCTGGGCACGGTAGCTCATGCCTGTAATCCTAGCACTTTGGGAGGCCAGGGCAGGCAGATTACAAGGTCAGGAGTTCAAGACCAGCCTGACCAACATGGTGAAACCCCCACCTCTACTAAAATACAAAAATTAGCCAGGCATGGTGGTGCACACCTGTAATCCCAGCTACTCAGGAGGCTGAGGCAGGAGAATCACTTGAAACCGGGAGGTGGGGTTGCAGTGAGCTGAGATTGCACCACTGCACTCCAGCCTGGGAGACAGCAAGACTCTGTCTCAAAAAAAAAAAAAGATCTATAAATATACAAATTCACTAACATTCCTATTAAGATGCAATATAGAAAAGAAACTGGGAAAGTTGCTTAATAAACAACAAAAGGTATGCAAGGATTTTACAAAGAAAATTCAATTTTCTTTTTTTAAACAGAGTTTCACTCTGTCACCCAGGCTGGAGTGCAATGGTGTGATCTCGGCTCAGAGCAACCTTCCCCTCCCATGTCAAGTGATTCTCCCACCTCAGCCTCCTGAGTAGCTGAAACTATAGGCATGTGCCACCACACCCAGCTAATTTTTGTATTTTTAGTAGAGATGGAGTTTCACTATGTTGGCCAGGCTGGTTTTGAACTCCTGACCTCGTGATCCACCCATCTCAGCCTCCCAAAATGCTGGGATTACAGGCATGAGCCACTGTGCCTAGCAATTCAAAATTTTAAGAAGCTGTGCAGGTAACTCCTAAATGTCTACTTTAGTTCACCATCTGGTAATTTGTTAGAAATGCAAATTCTGGCTGGTCTGAATGCAGTGGTCTTTACAACTAATTAATCACAACTAGTTATAGATTTGTTTCTCCATCACTCCCACTGATTTTTTTTTTTTTTTTTTTGACTAGCCAAAAAAAGGAAAACATGCAAATTATTTGTTTCCACCCCAACCTACCACTTTAGAATTTCCAGGGTGGGGACTAGGAATATTCATTTGAAACCTCTTGAATATGATACTCAATTGCCTACTGGATTTATATACTTGTATCCCACAGAGACCCAAAACTCAACGAGTCTCAAATTAATATAATCTTCCCCTCCCTACAAACTTGCTGATCCTTGTTTTACTGAGGAAATAATAATACCACCAAAAAGAGTAATGTCAACCATGACTTTTCAATCTTCTTCATGGCTACCATCGAGCCAATCACCAGGTCCTTCTGAGACTGCTTCTTTTATTTATTTCCAGTCTGCCTACCTCCCTCGGCTCCCTGGATACCTACACAGTTCAGGTAATGATTAGATCTAGACTAGGTTGCAACAGCAACTCTTAAATGGTAGTCCTGTTTAAATAATCCAGAGGAAAAATGGTACAGGGGTAACACAAATACGATAAAATGTTAACCATTAAATCTACAACTAAGGCTGTATAGATTTGAGCAAAGAGAAAAATAAAAGGGAATTGAGAACCTAGAAACATAGACACAAAAAGTGACACTTAACTGATTTCAAAACAGTGAGGAAAACGACTGCTATGTCAAGAAATGGATCTCCATACAGAAGATATTAAAGTTGACTACTAACTCACATGACAAAATAAAGTGAACCATAGATCTAAATGTCAATGGCAAACCAAGTAGGCTTTTTTTTTTTTTTTTTGAGACAGTTTCACTTTTGTTACCCAGGCTGGAGTGCAATGGCGCGATCTCGGCTCACCACAACCTCCGCTTCCTGGGTTCGGGCAATTCTCCTGCCTCAGCCACCTGAGTAGCTGGGATTACAGGCACACGCCACCATGCCCAGCTAATTTTTTGTATTTGTAGTAGAGACGGGGTTTCACCATGTTGACCAGGATGGTCTCGATCTCTTGACCTCGTGATCCACCCGCCTCGGCCTCCCAAAGTGCTGGGATTACAGGCGTGAGCCACCGCCCAAGTAGGCTTTTTTAAAAGAAAATATAGGAAGATGTCTTCATCATAATCCCTTAGTAGAGAAAGATGTTAAACAGGCTGAAACATACTAAACATAAAGGAAAAGATTGATACATCTGGCTACACTAAAATTAAGAGTTTCTGTTCATCAAAAGAAGCGATGAAGGTTAAAAAAAAAAAAGGCTACATGTGAAAGACTTCAAAACACATATAATTACCAAAGGATTTTTATCTAAAATATATAACTTCTACAAATCAATAAAATAATACAATAGATAAATAAGCAAAAGCCTTCACGATGCACTTCGCAGATGCAGAAACCTAAATGTTGAAAAACCATACGAAAAGGTGCTTAACCTCATCAGTAGTCTGACACGTGCCAGTTTAAACCACAAGCTACCACTGTACACTCTTCCGATAGGGGAAAATTATGATGCCCAACAGGCACTTGCCTATTGTGTTTGTGGGAGTGTAAACCAGTAAAGGATCTTTGGAAAATGTTTTGGCATTATCTAGTAACACAGAGGAGGTGCATTAGCCTCTGACTTGGCAGTTCCAGTCCTACATATGTATCACAGAGAAACCTGTGCCAATGTTTATCAGATACAGGCACAGTCACAACACTGCTGCAGTATCTCTAATTGCAAACAACTTAAGAAGCCCCCATTAGTAAAATGAATAAATTGTGGTATACTTACTTGTACAATGAAAAAAACTATTAGAGCAATTACATTAAAAATGTTTTAAACTTTTTAAAAAATAAGGTCTTGCTCTGTTGCCCAGGCTGGAGTGCAGTGGCACAATCATAGTTCAAACTCCCACACTCAAGTGGTTCTCTTGCCTCAGCCTCCCAAGTAGCCAGGACTATGGGCACATGCCACCATGCCTAGCTAGCTTTTAAGAAAATTCTGTAGAGACAGGGTCTTTCTATGTTGCCCAGGCTTGTCTTTATCTCCTGGCCTCAAGTGATTCTCCCAACTCAGCTTCCTAAAGTATTGGAATTATAGGCATGAGCCACCGTGCACAGCCAAAAAATGTTTAAAAAGTAATTTGGAGACGCAAATCAATATAATAAATACATTATAAATCTTTCTATATTAAGTTCACAAACATGTGAACCTAAACTATAGTGAATAGAAATGCAAACAGCTGATGAAACGATAAAACCAAGGAAGCCATTTTACCATAAAAGCAAGGACACTACCTATATTGGAGGGTTAGGATGAGCACACAGAAGGCTCAAGGAACCTAGCAGTGTTATGTTTACTGACCTTGGTTACAGGGGTGTTTGCCTTATAATAATTTATTAAGCTGTACATTTATGTTCATTTATTGCATGTAATATTTCACAATGAAAAGAATTTTCAAAATAAGATACTGGAAGGAACACATAAAAATCGCAAGACTCTGTTAAAGTCCTTGTAGCAGAATTAGAGGCAACTTCCATGTTTTCCTTTTTCCTCACTTCCTTGTACATGTTTTTACTGGTTTTGTTATTTTTTAATTCAAAAAGGACATTTTTCCTCATTCACTCACACTTAAAGTTTCCCTGCACTTGTTCCACCTCGTGACTTCAGCCCACATTAGTAGCTCCTTTACAAATCCTTCTTTACATGCTCCTAAGGGACTCTAGCATTTCATATTAAATACCACTACTCTCAGTTTTCATGGCATCTGTTCATCAGTCCTAAGCTGCTGCCTCCTAGAATGTATGCATTCCTCCTTTTTCTCTAAAAATCAGTGTACCTTCATTAAACATTTGCTAAGAATCAACTACAGAACATGCAGAACTTACAAAACTCTGATTTTACAGAATTCATCACCTTTTCTCCAAAACTGACCTTTTTCTGTCTTTGTTTCTCTACTACTATCTGTATCCAAATCATCCAAGCCTGAAACACCAACTGGAAATTCCTCTTTCCATTGCTGAACTGCTAATCTGAGGATATCTAGTGCAAGTTACTTAGACACATCACTAGACCATGAATTCCTTGATAGTTATTACACTTTTGTATGTCCTCTCATCTCTGTAGCACTTAAAAGAAAGTCTTAAGAAAGATTTGACAAGATTAAAATTTCTGTAGATGCCGTTAAGAGTATATGAAGGAATAAATAAATATCAGTGAATCAAAGAGTAATGAGTAAATTTTTCCAAGGTCATTAAATAGAACAGCAATATATGTACTTTTAATCTTGTTTTTTATTTTTTTCTTTCTCGAGTTGAATTTAGGCAATACAAATATATGTCAATTTGAAGAAAGAAAGCAAGGAAAAACCAAAAAGAAATGAAATTAGACAGAACAAACAATGGAAACAAAAAAGGTATCTGTGAGAAAGTATAAGGTGAGAACTGGTTGGGTATGTTAGCTGTTAAGTAATACAGAAAAAAAAAAAAGAGAATTGGATATGAAGAAGTCCTTTATGGAGTTGTGGGTGAGACTTCAGTCTTTGTATCTCTGTTTTCTTTAAGGGAAGATTTTCCGATCAAGATATTAAAAAGTATTGCTGGCCAGGCACAGTGGCACACGCCTGTAATCCCAGCACTTTGGGAGGTCGAGGCGAGTGGATCACCTGAGGTCAGGAGTTCAAGAACAGCCTGGCCAACATGGTGAAACCCCATCTCTACTACAAATACAAAAAAATTAGCTGGGTGTGGTGGCAGGCACCTGTAATCCCAGCTACTTTGGGAGGCTGAGGCAGGAGAATCGCTTGAACTAGGAGAGGGAGGTTGCAGTGATCCCAGATCGAGGTATTGCATTCCAGCCTGGGTAACAAGCAAAACTCTGTCTCAAAAAAAAAATTAAAAAAGTATTGCTTTCTCATTGATTAATTGGGTTGTTTTAAAACAACTTCCCCATCAGCTTCTAATTCACTCACCTGGAAACAGATCTCTTTTCACATCCCTTTTCCCCAGCCAGGGTTCTTTCCCTTGTTCTAATAAGGAAACCACATCTGGCTTAGAAATGGAAAGACCTGCTTGCAGAAAATGAAATAAATTCAAAATCAGTCCTTGAATCCATAGAGGGGCCACAAATGAAATGTCAAATGTGCATTTTTAAAATGTCTTAAAATAAGGTGCAGTTATGACCCCATCTTAAAGACTAATTTTAGGAAACCCCATACCTCCCTTGGGAATATTCAGCCAGACAATTATGATTTATAACAGCCACCCTAAAAGTCAAATTTTGACTTGAGGGAGGTGAAAGGGAATACTTACCCAGTGAGACCAGATGGCCATAGTTCTCCAACATTACACATCTGTACAAATCTCTTTGAGCAGGCTGAAGCCATTTCCACTCCTCCTGGGAGAAGTCTATGGCCACATCTCTGAATGTCACTGACCCCTGAAATGACACAGATATTTGCAATGCCAGCACCTATGCCCCCAAACTCCCTTATCAAGGAATAAAATGAGTCTCACTGTGGAGGTTAGACAATGTGTCTAGTAATAATGAAAGTTTTCAGAATTCTGAGTAACCATATAATGAAGAGCCTAGCTTTTGTGTTTCATTGTATAACTGGAAAAAAGGAAAAAAAAAACAAAAATTATCTATCCTGAGATAATTTACAATTTTTGTTCGAGAAAAAGGATTATACACATAAACAACATGGATTTTTAATATTGATTGTAAAAATTCTTAAGATTTTTGTAGTATTCCTTTACGTTTAATAAAGCAGTGTATATTTTCCTTAATACCAGCCTATATTAATATAATTCAACCAGAATTTCTTCAGAGTAACAACTGGCTACAGCAGATAACAGCAGCACCCTTCAAACGGAGCATACAGTCTCAAGTTTGTTACAGTCACCCTTAATGCTGAAGAAATACCTGTGAAACTTAGTGGTAATTTTAGCAATGTCATAGAACAAGGAAGATAAGCAATAAAGAATGTTGATTCTGCAAGAAAAGAATGTAATACCTTCCAGGACAGAACTGAAAGTACTTTCCCTCAGACTTAGGGGGAATAATACATAAGCCCTTTCTTTCCAGCCTGGTTTTGCACCACTTGAGTGATCCACATTAATCTATAAAACATGAATGGGAATTTAAAACGTCTCAAACTAGTAGCAGCCTCAGATGTACAGCAGTTATATTTTACAGTTTTGAAGTTTAATAAAGCGATTAAAGAGTGTTGACTAATAAAGCAGCTGTTTCCTAAACAGCAAGATCTGCAGTGGAGGTGGAAATGAGATTCCCCAGCAAAAGTCAGAGAGCCTCTGAATTTGGAGAGAAGTATGACAAAAAGTAGGACAAAGAAGTGGAACTGAAAATGAGGGACTCATTTTGAGTAGCGGACCCTGTTATCCCCACCGCTGTGAAGCACAATTACCAGCCAAGCACTTAGCCCCAGTCAAAATAAAAATAAGTGTTCCTTACTAAAGAAATGTCATGTCATGTCTGAAAAATGAGCTATGGGTTCAGAGATTCTGTTTTGCTCACTTCTGCATCCTCAAGACACAGAATGAGTTGCGCGTTAGAATCACTTGAAAAGACTGTTGGACTGCTGGGCCAAATTCCCAGAGTTTCTGATTCAGAAGGTCTGGGGTAGGGCTCAAGAATATACATTTCTAGTAAGTTCTCAGATGCTGCTGATACTGCTGGTCCAAGGATCAGTGAGAACCACTGAAAGTAGAGGTTCAGTGAAAACTTACTGAATAAACGAATGAATGAATAAATAAATGAATGAATGAAGGGGCGCCGGAGTAACAGAAGGCACTCCTCGTTCTAACATGTGGGAAAGAAGGGGCACCCTACCCTCTCACCCTAAAACACACCAGCCAGGTCAGAAACGCAGCCCGTATCTGGATAGCGTCCTTTCCCTCTCTTTATGCATACTTAAGTATAAACACCTGGAAAGGAGGAACAGGGGACAGGGTCCTGGGGTTCTGCCAGGCAGGTAGTTTTAGAAGCAAGCAAGCCATGTCCCAAGTCCTGAAAAACACGTCACAAAGAAAAGCAGCAGCAAGCTGAGTGGATTGCTCACTTGAGCCCAGGAGTTTGCGGTTACAGGAAGCTACGATGGCTCCACCGCATGCCAGCCAGGACATCAGGAGACCCTCTCTCTCTAAAAACACATATGTACAGACATGTATATATATATCATCAGCTTACCTGAGACATAGCTCACAGAAGGGACCGAGGAGATCAGAAAAGTGTAAAATGGCAGACCTGGCAGAGAGAGAAAGCAGCCCTGAGCGAACGGGCCAGCTAGGCCGAGTTCAAGTCACTAGATCCCCCACGGGGGATTCCCGTGGCCGCTGCTCCCTGCTTCCCACACAGAAAGCGGGGCGCCCTGAGGCATCGCGCTTGGAGCACTGACGCCGCTGAGCTTTCTCTTCGCGCGACAGCGTTGCCTCCCCAGAACGCCCTCACCTAACAGTGGCCACAAGAAAGCGCGTTTCCGTGGTGCTTTCGGCCAGGTGGGCGTAGCGTTCCAGGGCGCCCGAGCAGGTCAACGCCCGGGGCCATCCGGCGCAGACAGGGCGGGCCCCTTTCCTTGCCTACAGCAAACACAGGCCAGGCTCTCAGCGCCGCCCCCGAGGGCCCCACGGCGGGAGTCGCAGGAACGGCGTCTTCAGACGCCTCGGGGCGCCACCCCAACCAGCCGCCAGCCTCAAGAAACTACACTTCCCAGAAATCATGGCGGCCCTGCGCGCAAGGGCATAGGGCTTTTTTCCTACTGGAACTCCCAGAACGACTCGCTGCCACGCCTAGAACGCCAGGAGACAAAGAACCAGGGCCTGGGACAACTACAATTCCCAGAAAACCCCGCGGCCTGGCGGAGAGACCATAAGGCTTTCCTCCCAGAGGGTCTTGGGCCACGCCCAGAGCCAAGAAACAACGCGTAACTCAAGCCACTACACTTCCCAAAAACAACCGCGGCCCCCACGAGAAAGTACACAGGGCTTTCCTTTCCTATTTTATAACTCCCAGAGTGCCTCGCGGCCACTCACACAACGAACCGAGAAATAACGCGGGACTCAGGCCACTACACTTCCCAGAAACAACCGCGGCCCCCGCGACAGAGGGCACAGGGCTTTCCTTTCCTACTATTTAACTCCCAGAGTGCCTGGCGGCCGCGCGCACAGCTAGCCTAGAAACAAAGAACGCGGGACTCGGGCAACTACACTTCCCAGAACCAAACGCGGTGCCGCGCGACAGGGCATATGGCTTTCCCGACCCCACTACAATTCCCAGGGTGCTTCGAGGACACGCGCACAACACCGAAAGACAAAGAAGGCGAGCTTGAGGCAACTACACTTCCCAGAATCTCCTGCAACCCTGCGCCAACGAGCGGAGGGCTTTCTTTCCCTACTACTTCTCCCAGAGTTCCTCGCGCCACGCGCAAAGCCAAGAGACAACGCAGGGCTCTGGCGACTACATTCCCCAAAACCTCTGCGGCCCACCCGAGAGGGCATAGGGTTTTCATCCCCTGCTACGACTCCCACAGTGCCTCGCTGGCGGGCACCCTCGGCCCAGAGACAAGGAACTGGAGACTCAGGCGACTACACTTCCCAGAACCCACCGGGGCCCAGCATGCGCCAAGACCGCCGCTATTAAACAACTAGGATTCTTTAGAACGACTGTGGAGTCGGTCCTTCAGTCAAAGACCTTTTATTACTGCAAAGAGGGTCCGGATCCAGACTCTAAGAGAGGATTCTTGGATCTCGCACAAGAAAGAATTCGAGGCGAATCCATAAAGTGAAAACAAGTTTATTAGGAAAGTAAAGGATTAAAGAACTCCGAAGGCTGCTGGTTGCGCATTTTCATGGTTATTTTATTTTTTCTCGAGTCTCCTCTGTCGCCCAGGCTGGAGTGCAGTGGTGCGATCTAGCTCACTGCAGCCTCTGCCTCCCGGGTTCAAGCGATTCTGCCTCAGCGTCCGGAGAAGCTGGGACTACAGGTGTGCACCACCACGCCCGGCTAATTTTTTGGATTTTTAGTATAGATGGGGTTTCACCATGTTAGCCAGGATGGTCTCAAACTCCTGACCTTATGATCCGCCCGGCTGGGCCTCCCAGAGAGCTGGGATTACAAGCGGGAGCTACCGCGTCCGGCCTGGTTATTTCTTGATTATACGCTAAACAATGGGTGGATTATTCATGCCTCCACTTTTTAGACCATATAGGGTAGCTTGCTGACGTTGCCATGGCATTTGTAAACTGTCATGGCACTGGTGGACTGAGAAAAACTAGAGGTCGCTCTTATCTTGGTTTTGGTGGGTTTTAGCCGGTTTCTTCACTGAAACCTCTTTTATCAGCAAAGTCTTTATGGGGTGTGTCTGGTGCCAACCTTCTGTCTCATCCTGTGACACTAAGAATGCCTTAACCTCCTGGGAATGCAGCCCAGCAGGTCTCAGCCTTATTTTACCCAGCCCTTACTCAAAATAGAGTTGCTCTGGTTCAGCCGTCTCTTAGAGTGGAAGTGTACCGATGAGGACAACCAGAGGTCACTCTCATTGCCTTCTTGGTTTTGGTGAGTTTTAGCCGCTTCTTTAAACTTTTGTCGGCAAGGTCTTTATGACCTGTATCTCATGCTGACCTCCTATTTCATACTGTGGCTTAGAATGCCGAATCGTCTTAGAACACAACCCACTATGCGTCAGCCTCTTTTTTTTTTCTTCTTCTTTTTTTTTGAGACGGAGTTTCGCTCGTTACCCAGGCTGGAGTGCAATGGCGCGATCTCGGCTCACCGCAAACTCCGCCTCCTGGGTTCAGGCAGTTCTCCTGCCTCAGTCTCCTGAGTAGCTGGGATTACAAGCACGCGCCACCATGCCCAGCTAATTTTTTGTATTTTTAGTAGAGATGGGGTTTCACCATATTGACCAGGATGGTCTCGATCTCTTGACCTCGTGATCCACCCGCCTCGGCCTCCCAAAGTGCTGGGATTACAGGCTTGAGCCACCGCGCCCGGCCGCCTCAGCCTCTTTTTACCCAGCGCCTGTTTAAGATGGGAGTTGGCCGGCGTGGTGCTCATGCCTGTAATCCCAGCACTTTGGGAGGCCGAGGCAGGCAGATCACCTGAGGTCAGGAGTTTGAGATCAGCCTAGCCAGCATGGTGAAATCCTGTCTCTACTAAAAATACAAAAATTACCCAGGCGTGGTGGCGGGCACCTATAATTTCAGCTATTTGGGAGGCTGAGGCAGAGAACTGCTTGAACCCGGGAGGCGGAGGTTGCAGTCAGCCAAGATCGCACCATTTGCACCCCAGCCAGGGTGACAAGAATGAAACTGCATCTCAAAAAAACAAAACAACAAAAACAGGATGGAATTGCTCTGGTTCAAACAATTGACACTTTGGCTTCAGATAAATGTAATAACCAGAATCCTTCCAACGCTCCCAGGTCGCCTTGAAAGAGTGGTCTCAGAGGATGTGACTCCGAGTCACAACCGGGATGTTGCTCAGTGAGCTGGGAAGACACGCTAAATCTGTGGCCTTACGGAGCGGCCAGGTCTCTACCTGGTACCGGCACAGCCACAGCTTCTCCCTCTGGAAAACCCCCACTCTCGAGCAGTCTCATGTTACCTGAGAAGGAACTCAGCCGCTGGAGCCGTCCTAGGTTTTCATGTGCTCCAGCTCGAGCCCTTCCTCAGAAGCCTTCTGGAAGGAGGTGCTGGATTGCATCTACAGGGTCTGGATGCCCAGTGTCTTGGGGGTGCCATTACTCCCAGCGTTGTGTGGGGCACTGTCCTGGACACGTAGGAGAGGTTTGGGGAAGCAAGCCAGACACCCTGTCCTGGAAGAACACCAACTCTGAGCCAGTTGGGAGGAGGGGAGAGGAACTGTATTGCTAAAATATGACATTAGGGAAGAGTCAACCCACTGAATCAAGGGAGTATTGTTCCAGGTCGAGGGAACAGTTTATGAAAAAGAGACAAAAAAGAAAAACAACCCATTATACAAAATGGAAAAGAGCAAAAAAAGGAAATTCACTGGCCTGGTGAAAAGACGTGAGAGTGAAAAAGGGAGTCCTTGTGAAGGAACCTGGATGTTGCTCAGTGAGCTGGGAAGACACGCTGAATCTCTAAGGAGGATGTGCATAATCATATTTGCATTCTACTGCCCGTGTTGAGGGAAAAAGATCACTAGAGGCAAATATTCTGGAAACTAATCTGAACTGATGCTGAGAGAATGGATTGAGGGGATTGATTTAAGAAACAATTTAAAGGGAGACTAAAGGAGTGGATGATGAACTGGATATCATCCAATTATATGAAAGGGAAGGAAGAGGTTAAGTTTCTTGTTTGGGTGATATGCTTACAGAATTTCACTCTTTAAAGCCTCTTACCACGGTCGTCCACTCAGGACTTCAGCTTCCAGTTACACTACAGGTGATTTACCCAGTTCTCTTAGCTATTCCATTTCACTGAGGTGATGAACCCAGGAAAAGAAACAAGTTTAGAAGAGAAGAAAATTAACTTGGGGACATGGAGAGAATGTGTGTGTGTGTTCAACCTTAACTATTAATATTGTAAAAATTTTTTTTTTTTTTTTTTTTTTTTTTTGAGACAGAGTTTAGCTCTTGTTACCCAGACTAGAGTGCAATGGCGCGATCTCGGCTCACCACAACCTCCGCCTCCTGGGTTCAGGCAATTCTCCTGCCTCAGCCTCCTGAGTAGCCGGGATTACAGGCACGCGCCACCACGCCCAGCTAATTTTTTGTATTTTTAGTAGAGACGGGGTTTCACCATGTTGACCGGGATGGTCTCGATCTCTTGACCTCATGATCTACCCGCCTCGGCCTCCCAAAGTGCTGGGATTACAGGCTGGAGCCACCGCGCCCAGCCCAAAAATTATCATTTCTAACCTGGAATCTTGCCAAAGATTTCACTTCATTTCCCCATATCTTTTCCTCACACCAAAGTCAGCCTGATTTTTATAAAGCAATTCTGCTCATATTCTGCTTAACATAACTTGATGACTTTTAGTTGTTCTTAAGTAAAGGCCGAAAGTCCTAACATGGTCCACAGACTGCATGGTCTTACTCCTATCTTTTCGAGCTTTTCTTATGTTACTTTCCTCCTCTCTAACTGCACTTTGTTTCCTCAAATGTCATGTGCTAAGGACCTTTGAGCACATTAATTCTGTCTAAAATAAAAGGTATCTGTCCCTTCACACTATAACTTCATGAGTTCCCTTCACGTCATCCTTTACATTTCAGCCCAGGCAAGTCTTACTCAGAGAAGTGTCCTTTGATTCCATTGTAATCACTAAGGTCCCGATGATTACACCCTAGACTTACTCTCTTTAGCATGTACTTAACTTGCAATTACATTTGTAACTATCTACTTACATTCGTGTAATTATTTTGTTAGTGATTACATCACTAGACTGTAAGTACTATGAGTCTAGACACCATTTTGTTCATCATTGTACCCGTAATAACTACTACTGGTGATCAGTGAACATTTATTGACTGAATGAATAACATGTATTATCGAAGTTTAACTTTTGTCATGTTGTGAGGTAAAGTGATATGTTGTTTTAATTTACTTTTTTTTTTTTTTTTTTTTTTTAGACGGAGTTTTGCTCTTGTTACCCAGGCTGGAGTGCAATGGCGTGATCTCGGCTCACCGCAACCTCCGCCTCCTGGGTTCATGCAATTCTGCCTCAGCCTCCCGAGTAGGTGGGATTACAGGCACGCACCACCATGCCCAGCTAATTTTTTGTATTTTTTAGTAGAGATGGGGTTTCACTGTGGTGACCAGGATGGTCCCGATCTCTTGACCTCGTGATCCACCCGCCTCAGCCTCCCAAAATGCTGGGATTACAGGCTTGAGCCACCGCGCCCAGCCCTTAATTTACTCTTTATGAGAATATGAAACTGTATTGACTAGTGTCTATCTTCTGTGAAATACTGGTTCGTAGCCTTTGCTATGAATC